GCGGCGTGGCGCGAGGGAGGCTGCGGGCCTGGGGTCCTACCGGAGGAGGAGGAGAGAAGAGGAGCGGTGCGGGAGACGGAGGGGACGGACACCCCGTTGCCGGCCAGCCCCAGGGCCCCCGGGGCGTGGAGGCTGCTGGACACGCTGGCTGCCCCGCTGCTGGGGGGGGCGGCGGGGGCCACGGGCGCGGAGAAGGCAGAGGCGGAGGCCGGAGGCAGGGAGCCCATGCTGTCGCCGCCGGTGTACTGGCAAACACAGCGACACACAGGAGGTCAGAGCAGAATTCCCAGCGGCGAGTAAACCATGCACAACAACAAACCGCGGGAAAGCATTCCCGCACGGGTGCAAAACCTCAAAACTACAGGTGCGGAGGACAAGTTAAATCTGTAGGAATTACACTTCCTCAGCAGAAACGGCAACTATGTGGGACGCGGAAATCCCCAGCAGAACGGCGGCGTGAAAAGGAGGATGAGAACGCGTCCGGTTGGCAGAGCAGGGCAGCGTGGACAGAGGCGCGCCGGTCCCGGCAGGGCAGACACTCACCGTGAGAGACGAGCTGGACGGCAGCCCCGAGGCCGAGGAGTGGCTGCCGCTCGGATGGCTGCTGGGCAGGGAGCTGAGGGGCGGAGAGAGAGAGAGAGGAGAGGCGTGAGGAGGGAAAGGGAGTGAATTGGGGGTTGAAACAGGGGTGGGAAGTGACACAATGGTCGTAAGAACAAGGAGAGGGCGGGAACAGGGAAAACGAGGAAGTAAGGTGGGACAGAGAAAAGAGAAAAACTGAGACAATGTCCTTAGGACTCTGACAGGGACTCACCACAAATCACTCCCCCATATCCGATTTTCCCAGAACGTGAGGAAACCTTTATTGCTACGTGACTGTTTCAGCTTTATACACTGTGACCTTAGGAAGAGTCTGCCGGACTGAAACAACACACTGCCTGGTTTGTGACCTGCGTGTCTGTTATTTGTGGACGTGTTTTCTTTTTGAGGATGATGTCATAAATGTCATATTTTTGTCATTTGGTATTTTAAAACTTTAAGCCAGGAGAGAATTAAACAATCTGGACCAGAACAGTCTTGTGCCTTTTGGACTGGGACATCTTTTGTACTGAATCGGAAAACCACCTAGGAAGGGACGTGGAACCGTCTACCCCAGGAATCACAATTTAAAAAAACATCTTAACCACCGTGTGGGTGTCCCACTTGCTCTCATCAGTGTGATGGAGTTCACCCACACCCACCAATGCCACCTCCTCTTTCAGCTCGAGAGCTCAACATCAAGAATCAGGAGTGCCTTCCTATGCAGAGGCTACAATGACCATGAGACATGTTCAGTTATTAAAGCCCAAGCATCTTTGAGTTCATGCATGTTTTAAAAGGACAGACACGAGTGTGATAGAATATTCTGTGCTAAGTAAACAAGATGATGTAACCCCTCACATGGATAGGAGATGTCGTTCCTTCCACTTATCTGACCTCCAGATTGCCTACTCTACCAGATAATGTAATTAATTTGGCTCATTTAAAAAAATGATGCACTCAACCAAAAATTATGGTAGAAATTTCCATTTCACTCTATGTTAAGGTTGCTCATTATGCCAAAAACAGCAACACAAACCCACACAGAATAGGATACGTAATTGCTAAGAGAAAACAGTGAGCTGAAGATGGGCAGCACTCCTAAGGGACAGTGGCTGTGCCGCCCTGTGCTCAATGCGTTCTGGTATGTGCTTGTGGGCATCGCCCTCTGTCCCAGGACCACCAGACCAGGGAAGTGAAGGTCGGTGTTAGTTTTTCTGTGGGGTGGAAGAAAATCTCAAGTGTTGAAGGTTTGTGGTGGCAGAGTGCTGTGGTGGGAGAGAGAACAGAATAAAGGGGGTGCGGCCCTGCTGAGCTGTGCAACAACAGTGCTGTTACTACAAAGATGGCAGGGGCAGGCATGCCAGCTAAACCTTGGCAGCATCGCAGCATTCCGTGTAGTGAGAGACAGAGCGCCAGACAAGTCAGGTTGAGGAAAACCTGTGCCAGTCTGTGCTGCAAGGAACTGTGCAGACAGACAGAGGGGGCGTACTTGCTAAGCTGGGGTAACGAGGCGGATGGCAGCTCAGGTGCCAGGCTGGGGAGTGCGGAGCTGTGCTGGGGGGCAGAGGGGGGCAGTAGAGATGACGCGGGGGAGGCGACGCTGCTGGGCAGAGAGCCCACGCTGGGCAGGGACGGCGACTCTGGCTTGGGGGTGGAGGAGGCAGATGTAGCTGGAAAAGAAGGAACAAAGGAGAACAGTGCCAAACGGTGTCAGACAGAAACGCATCCAGTGGCTAGGCTGGACCCATAAAACACAGAGATAATCCTGCACTTGATCTGGTAAAAAAAAAAAAATCAAGTCGTTTTCTCAGGGAGCACGTCGCATACCCCTCAGGTTTACCCAAAAGCTTATACACCTGTTGCCTTGTTGAAATGCTTTTGCACCAGTTGGTATTGGCGCCAGCCGCAGGTAAAGCTACAGCGATGGACACGCACGGATAAAACTGGAGAGGTTTAATGTCACTTACTCTCTAGCCCCGTCGGCGTTCGCACTCCGTTGAAGCCGTTCTGCAATTACAGCACAACACTCATCAGTTATCGGCCAGACAGTCAACAGTGCAACGTCCTGTAGTACAAATTCACCCCCTCCGGTCAGAAAGCAACTGCTGGAAATCATGGTCTTGCATATCTCTTCGGGGTTCTTATAGCTGTGGGTAAAAAGCCAGTAAGAAAAGTGGCTTCTCCTGGACTTACCAACAAAGAGCCGTTGGACTGAGGTACTAACTGAAATGTGTATTATTTTCCAAAATGACATCTTCACTTGAATTAAAGATGAACAGACTTGTAAAATATTGGTGTAGATGGGTCAAGTACATTAAGTACTTGGAGCAGTGGCTCTGTGGCTCAGGATCTGCGCCTGTGACTGGAAGGTTGCCGGTTCAAATCCCGCGGCCAGCAGAGGAATCCTACTCCCTTGGGCCCCTGACCAAGGCCCTTCACCCCAACTGCTCCAGGGGCGCCGTACAATGGCAGACCCTGCGCTCTGACCCCCAAGCTTCTCTCCCTGTCTGTGTGTCTGTGTCTCCATGGAGAAAAGCTGGAGTATGCGAAAAGACGAATTCCTAATGCAAGAAATTGTATGGGGCTAATAAAGAAACATTATCATTATTAAAGTCTGAATAGGCTGAGAAGCAGAATAACCTCTCTCCCTCTTCTTAATCATAAAAACCTATGCATCTTCCTTATTTTGAAGGTATACAGTTTGGTTAGAAGTGAGTCAAATACTTGTTAAATATTGTAAAAGGGAACAGATAAGAACAGACTAAATTCTAAGGTAGGATGCATATTTGAAAATTTGCACTGTAAAAGGACAGCTGTGAGAAGTCATTTGCACTTGACTTAGTTTTATCTGTTCTTGGAATCACGAAATGAAGACGCCGGAGAGGAGAAAACCCAGGGTATCTCAAGGCCTCGCACCGCACCAGGAGGCAGCGGCTTCAGGCCACACGACGGGCCGCGCTCCGAGGCCGGACGGCCGGCGCTGATCCGGGACTCACCGTCACTGGGGCTGGCACCGGCTCCTTCCCTGGGGAGGGGGCCAGCGGGCTGGGGAAGGCGATGCGGCTGTGCTGGGGTGCGCTCTGCTCGAAGGAGCCCCCCCCCGAGGTGGCAGGCGGGGGAGCAGGGCTGTGGGGGGGCAGCGAAGACAGACCCGAGGAGGCGACGGTGGGGGCGGCGTACGTGGAGTCGGCGGTGGCCAGGGACATTGACAGGGAGCCACTCAGAGGCTCGCTGCAACAGCAAACACACACACGACGCCCTGACGTTAGCGCCTCTCCGTCACTGCTGACCGAACATCCACAACCTGGGGACGATCACTCTGCCCCCGGAATTATCAGCAAGCAACTCTGCACGCCACTACCGTTCCACAACCATATCCCAGAAGCCCCAGGAGAAACGAACTGTATTCTCAGAAACAGCACTGAAGAGCGCACAAAGGCTTGATCACAAAACGGGCTGGGCCTGCTGGCATCGCAGATCTTAAGATGAGTTTCAAAATGTACCGGGGGTCATCGCTGCCCACATCTTCTCCACGTTGTCTGAAAACCGATCATTCTCCACGGTTATGTCTTCCATTTTCCAAAGCACTGAAGGCATTAAAAAGGGTTCAAGCCCCCTGAACCTTCTTGAAACATTTAACTATTTTTACTTTCTGGGGAAAGGGCCTGAAGGCTGGGTCGGCGTGCACCGGCAGCACAGGAACAAGTAAAGGTTAATTCCACTCCGAGAAACAGGAAGAACCAACATAACGTTTTGGTGGCTGAGACCTGAAGAAGGCTCAACAGCCAAACCACTGTTTTTCTTCATTCTGATTTTCACGGTGGTATTAACCTTTACTTGTTCCTATTTAGGTTACTGAAAAGATCCCAAGTGCCCCTTATCAAGGGCACAAGCACAGAGCAGGCAGTCTATGCAATGCTTCCTTAAGGAATTCTATTAAAAATACATTTTTCATCAGCCCTCAACACACAGCTTTGTGAACTGCTAGCACAGTTAAGGTTAGTGGCACCATCAGACTGTGAAAATTGAAGCAGTCTCACCACCCTCAGGACTAATGCACATACAATTGGTTGAAGTGGATGCCAGGCATGGCACAGCCCAGTCCTGCAAAGTATGAGCCTACTGATAATGAAACATGCATTTTACGCCACAAGAAAGCAGGACTTTTTATTAATTGGGATAACGAAATTTTGTAAGACAGCTGACTTTTCCCAGTGTCCCAGGGAATAAGGACACAGTGAGGACACTGGTCATGTGAGAGCAAGCACGAGTCCGAGAGGCCTCACCTCATGGTCTTGGAGTACAGACTGTTCTGTGGTTGTGTTGCCAGCTCGCTGTTGGTGCTCTCCGTCGACCCGAACTCCTGCAGAGTGGGTTCTGACCCAAACTCCAGCGCTCCAAACTGCACATTTAGCCCTGTCATGTCTGTAGATCCTGGCATCTCCACAGCAGAAGAGGGAATCTAACAGTGAAGGGTGAAACAAGAAAAATACACCCATGTCATTTCTACCTGTTTTAAAGTACACCATAATAGATTATTTAACCACAATACAGAGACTTCCTGTATTAAAATGTTCCACAGTGTTTCAGCATCTTTAGTGCAAATACAAATATATTAGTGTCCGATATATACATTAGTGACTTTGTTCTTGACAGATTTTCACAGCTGGACAGTTCCGAGAACAGGCAGCTCATTTTATCACAGCTGTAAGGAAGCTTTCCTAAATGTTTAAGAGAAACATATGCGACTCTTTCATGTCTGTCAAAACTGCTTGTGCTTCTCCGGCGAAGCTGAACTGGGCACACAGTCTCCTGCGAGCTCAGCAAGATAAAATAAACTACCGGAAACTGTACTTTTTCACACCACTTCAGTGAAGCCAATCTCACATTCATGTAACAGATTCACATTCATTTTCCAAGCTGCATCTAATAATTTAGGTTAAGATTTGGCTTTAAACAAATCTCGTCACGTATAATCTCAGATTTTGAATCGCTAATTTTATTCCTAAAAGTGTATTCAGAGAGTGATTGTCAAGCTTGTCAAAACAATACACCCTGCTGCTCCAGGACTGATCACTAGGTTTCAATTTCAAAACTAGGACAACATTTTACTTTTGTTTCCAGTTTGCACCACAATAAGACAAATAATACTGGGACAATACTGTAACTGGTAACATCTTTTAACTCAAATACATCAACAAAACACTTAAACTCAAAATTCATGTCACTGAGTTCTGAGACAGCCTTGTGCACCTTTTCAGGCTCTACTTTGAAATGATAAAATTGCAGCTCTTAGAGGCAGCACCATCTCCAACAGCATGTGTGCTATTTTAGCAGACTACGGTACAATCGCTGTCACAAACCACATCAACAGGACAAGTGGCCTTGCAGAGGTAAGTGGAGCCCTTAGAAATGCTTGTGAACGCCACATGAAGTGGTCAGCGGACTGACAGACTGCGAGGAATACAGGCTCTCACTGTATATTCCATACCTTGGAAGTAGGAGGTATCCTGCGTTTCTGTGGTTTGATCTGTTTGTGCTGAGTGGCGCAGCTCTGCGAGTCTGTGGAACCCAGTGGGAGGGGCAGCAGTTTGGCAGCAGAGTCGGGGGGCGACGGGTCACGCGGTTTGGGGTGAGAGGGGGCTAAGGAGTCCAGGCCGGGGGGGGGCGGGGGCAGCACGGGGGGGCTGGGCTGGCGGGCGAGGGGCAGGGCTGGCTGGGCCTGCTGACGCTGGCTCAGCTGGCTCAGCACCAGGGAGGGCTCCGGCTGCGTCTTGAAGTCTGCTGGAGGAGATCAAACACGAGAGCTCTGCTGCATTAAAAATGACTGGCTTTCTGATGAGAGAACTGTGACACTGCAGGAGGAAAAACGTGCAAGTCAGCAACAGGTAAGCAGACACGAAAAAGGCCGATATGTAAACTAGACAAAATCACTGCTTTTGGGCAAGTCTTCTGCATCCAGTACATGAACGAGGGCTTCACACAGAACAAAAAAAAAAGCACAGGATAAAACAGGGAAGTGGAAAACCCGTGTAAATTCTGAACTTTGCAGGCATGAACAACAGGTGTGTGCCAGTGCCCCTGAAATCACTGCAGGTTTGTTACAGCATCGTGGTAAGCTGCTGCAGATTTCAAGGTGTCTGTGAGGCTAGTGGGCCTGACAATGGGGTATTGTGATTGTGTGGGCTGTGTGCCCGAGGAAGACACACTGGTTTCGGCTATGTGCTTGCAGGCATCATCATTGGGCTCCAGGGCCTGCGGGCTGAGAGCTGAGCGTCACAGGCTACTGGGCTGTGTGGAGAGACAGCTCCACCCTGCACTGTCAGAAGTGATCCTGCCATACTCACCGAACTGCGAGAGAGCTGTAGTGTTCTGTGACCCCAGGGGCTTGATGTCCCAGGAGGAGGTGGAGACACTGGGGCCTCCGGGAGCCCCAGCGATGCCCCCCATGCCACTGCTGCCCCCTCCTCCAGCCTGCTGGGGGGGGAGCTGCCCCCGGCTGGGGGCCTTCAGCTGCTCCAGGATCTGTGCTCCTGCCGGGGAGGCCAGCTTGGAGCCTCCCAGCTCCCCAAACCCTGAGCCCAGGACTGAAGACTGACGGCGGGAGGAGGGAGGAGGTGAAGAAGACGAAGACATTGGGAAGAGCGCAAAAGGGAAAAGGAGACAAAGAGGAAAAACAGACAAAATTGGAAAATGTTAGAGGAACCGCAGACTTCAACTGAAACACACTGTAGTGCCCCAGTGCCTTTTAGTGCCTTTCTCACTGAACACAACAGGAGAGGTTTTTTTTTTTATAACAGGACAGATATTACCCCTCACCCCCCCCTTTCTAAAATGAGAACAGATCACCTTAGAAAAATGCATAAATTACTATAATACAGTAAACCGTAGGAAAAAGAGGAAATAGAAGGGCTAGGAAAAAATGAGACCACAGATTGAGACGTAAACAACTATAAACGACAGCCGCACAGCTTGCCAACAGGAAGATGGCCAAGTGGGGGAACTACAGGTCTCGCGGTGAACTGGTATTTCCCAGTAACGCGCAGCAGAAGGCCACTCAAGAGCTGGGCCCTGCAGCTCCCCCGTCAGCCTGCGTCTGTCCCGACGGGGAGCTTCTCTCACCAGGCTGTGCTGAGGGTAGCTGCTGGCCATGGCGGAGTTGCTGGTGCTGGCGGGCAGCGGGGCGGAGTGGTGAGAGTTGGTGAACACCAGGCTCTGCCCTAGGTTCTGCGGGGATGAGGGCTCCAAGCAGTTCAACTCTGCCGTCCCAGACACCGGCTTCTGAAGCAATGCCGCCAGATCGATGCTGGAAGACAAAACGCAGGTCAGGATAATGCCTGTATACCTTAAAAACAATCAGAGGCTGTCCATAACAC